GGATTTCAAAAAGGATTTTAAAAGTTTGCCCTCAAAATTTACTTCTAGGACTTGTTATGTCCTAGTTTGGTGAATCTAGCAACCTATCCGAACCATATCCATAACAGTCAAATTGTAAGGACTGATGCGAATCTGTCTGCATAGTACGAGCATTTTTGTGCAGCCACGAGCGTCTGCTCGCTAGGTCTATTGGCCTCGGAACTTACCGGCTGAGATGAGAAACTCCTTTCCCGCTCCTCTGAGGAAGTTGAGGGTTACGAAAATGCCCTACTCGCCTGCAGTCTGCTAGGCCAAAGCATGCTCCTTTGACGCAGCTAGACGATAGGTATTTATAGGAAGCTACAGAAAGAAACAATAATTACCATGAAAGCTTGTTCGATATTCCCATAAATCAAAACGAAGTAGCTCTAAATAATCCTTTTGGCAAGAAAGCACATTTATTTTAGAATAGCATTTCATTTTTATTGAGCTATGGTTACGTTGGCGATTCGGCCATTTGGCTGTTGCATAATCAAGGCTGTTGCATGTTATCGGCTCACCCAATATGCAGGACAATGCACAGAACTTAACGATATAAAACCTGCATGGATCACGCAAGAGCAAATGCTCAGAAACCGATAGGATTTAACTTGCCGCAGCCTATGAGCCTCTTAGGTTATATTTCGGTAGCGTAATTGAACATTCGGTACTAGAGGTGGCAAAAGATGAAAATTTTGGGAACCAGACTCGAACCAGACCCGGCTGGACATTTCTGGAACCAGTCGGACCCGGCCTTAGTTGGAATCGGAACCAGTTGGACCCGGTTCCCCAAAGTCAATTAATACGAACTACTTGTAGGTATCATTAGTTGCATCATGTAAAACAGCCTATTTCTCACTGGGAATACTCATGAGCTGCTGTGTACCAAGAAACATTCGCTTCATTCACTTCATATTTTGCAATAATGTGTAGTGTGCAAGATGTACAGTTTATGGTAGGACCCGGTTGGACCCGTCCGAAAATTTCCAGGAACCGGTCTGGACCCGTATGGGTCCAGACTGGTTCTTTGGACCGGGTCCTCGGGTCCACATTTTGCCACCTCTATTCGGTACCCCTCTATTATGAGTAGATTGTACACATGTATAGGCATCAGAATGCTTCATAATAACTAGGTTTCCTTTGTAGTTTTTAGTCGTGCCGGTGGTCTTTGGCGACTGTGCGCTATCGCGCCGTCCCATCTGTGCCCATCGATACATCCGATCCTTCCTGTCGGCCGGACCCCGACACACGGACGGCCGTATATGTATCTCTTCCGACGTGCCGTCCCACCCGTACAGTTTATGGCCCGAGACGTAATGCCCGACCTTCTGTCACAAATGTCTGTCCGTGTCGAACCCTCTCCGCATGCACGATAAGGTACTCCAGGTCGGTTAAGTCTGGCCTATTCCACTACAGCGCTAGCGCTCAACCACTAGCTAGCGGCTTACGGGAGAGCCGGGCCAGTCACTGAACGACCCCATGCGGCTGAGGAGTGATGGACTCCTCAAACACACGTCCATGCGCAGCAGGCGCCGCCTGTTTGCCGCATTCGTCTCCTGTGCGCCACTTTCGTCGCGCCAGTGCGTCTGTTCACTGCTTTCGCCGCCGTAGCGCTGCAATCCCTACTACCGTGACACAGCACGCCGGGCAGTGGATGGCGGGTTTACCGGCCGCACGGCAGCGCGAGCACCTCCCAGACGGTCGTACATATACTGCGGTTACATAAGATGGGACCGCGGGCGTGCTAGCCCGCACCGCCGGCGGCGGGTGACTCCTGTCCACCCGTCCCGTCCCGTCCGTCCCACGGTCACTGCCGTAGTAGCAGGAAAGCTGGGCGGCAGCCTGCACAGTTGCAGCGCGGGCGCACGGGGCAGACAGGTGTCCGACCTGGCACCGGCAAATGGCGACGCTAGAGCCGGGACAATTTTCTGGGAGGGAGACCTTTTGGGAATATGATAACTGCGCTATTTTCATGTTATGATCTTTCCCATTTTTGTGCTAAATGCTAATCTAGTTAGTAATACAGCTGTTTGATGTCGTGCAATTAGACTAATGCAGCGTTGCGAAAGCTTCACCTTTCACCAAATAGAAACTTCTTGACGTGAAACGCTTTTCAGGCACTAGTGCAGTGCACTGAAAATGATATACATTTGTATAATTGCATTATCCTGCCAAATGCCAAACATGGGAGTGGGACAGCGTGGATGTCAACCACATACGAAATAATAGACCGATGCCGCTTGGTACTGGATAATTGGTTTCATAAATCCATACTATTGTCTGAAATGTCGTCACTTTGGCATAAATTTGATCGCCTTCGTTTATTAGAATTGCCTATTATTTTTTTCCAGCGTTTTGGGCGGGTATTTGTTTGGAATTGGGTTTCCCAGCACCTCGTGGTTCACTATTGACATCAATAGACAGTGCCTTTGTGTAACCTCAATTGACGATTTTAAAATTGAATCAGCCATCAAAACAGGCAATCAGAAACTTTCCAGATGACATTAGACGTGCCATTTTAATTTTATAGTTCTCGACATTTATGGCTGCTCAAGCTGGGTGGAGTTCCGGGCAAAAACCGTCGGACGATTAATAGGTCCCGTTGTGTTGGACATTGCCTAATCTGATACCGATATCCCTCGCGCTGATCAAGTATGTATGCGGCTGGTGCCGATCCCATTGGTGGGCATCACACTAACGGCAGAGAGCATCACCGGCGACCGACGTGACGGGCGAGCGAATGGTTTTCTGGTGAATTCCAACAGCTTATAGTAATATCAGCCATAGGAGGGGGTGTATTGAAGCGGCGCTCCTGAGACGTGACTGGAATGCACTTACGAAAAGATGCTGGCATGATTAGCACGGATGAATGACACATGCCAACCTTAACCAGTAAAGGAATAAACAACTTGGACAATATCAGTTATGTGGGAAGTAAATCAATGTGATCATGATGCATCTTTGTGTGAACATTAAATGAGTTAGGTGAACGTTTTATCGGTTAACGTGCATGCAAGGGTGGTGTTGTATTTCTAACAAGATGGAGAGGCAATAGAAAAACGTTTACATCTGCTTCGCTATTCAATGATTGTATGCTGGCCCGCCTTTACCGTCAATGACAGGACATTCGACCTTGAAATTTATGCATGTTTCCTGACCAACCAGCGTCGAGCGCTGTCCGTTATATAAGAAGAGCTGAGGCGCCAGTCCTCGTGAACCACAGAATGCACATGTTGATCTTTTCCGACACGTATGGTGCAGAAGGTTATATTTAGACATTGAGCCTCTAATGTACGGATGCTTCGGTATTTGTCGTCCTACAGCCATTCTAATGGTATATGGCATACGTGGTTATGTGAAAACATAATGGGCATGATTGTCACGCTGATGTTATCCCGGCAGGCGGTGGGCCTACCGGCCACCTTCCACGCGGTGGGGGGGGGGGCACTTTTTTGCCCCCCCCGTATCTCCGAAACTACTGGACGGATCCGGAAAATTCAAACGGCTTCGATAGCCCTGTCAAATTTGTCGAGGGAAACCAAATTTCATTGACCTCGGGGTCACCGATGACGTCACAGGTCAGGTCAAAGATAAAATGTTTCACCGTTCACAGGGCTTCTAGGGAAAGCGCTATAACACCGAGTAAAACGCATTTTGTCGAAAATCAGCGATAAGGCGTCAGTTGTCAAGTACATATGTTGCTATTAGAGGTCACTGGTCATACCAGGTCAGGTCACAGGTCAGGTCACCAAAGGTCACCAAGGGTCACCACATGAGCCCAACTTTACTAAGGTTATGTGATGCATGTTTTATGGCCAGTTTTTCATTTCCAACTCAATGGTGTTGGTTATAAGACCATCAGGTACGGTTTAGGTCACTTTCTGGTCGAGGTCAGGTCAAGGTCAGGTCAAAAAAGGTCAAATTTCAAAGTTAATATTTTGCATAAAATGGGTATCGATTCGATGCAGCTCGTCACGGGGAGTCTAATAGTGGTCTTTGTTTTGCGTTACGAGGTCTAGAATTGCTAAAAATTGAGTTTGAAAATTTGACGTCATCAATTTTGAACAGTTTTTTCGCTATAACTTGGCCAAAAAACGAGGTATCGATCTCAAATTTGGTATGTAGATAGAAGGCGGTAGGGACTATCACATATATTCCGGTTTTTTTTCGAAATTCAAAAAACTTTTTGGATTTTTTGGCTATTATATTCAAAAAATCTATTTTTTGATTTTTGGGGGTCAAAATCCAAAAAATTCGAAAAACCGAAATAGCAGTTTTGTAGCCCTTTTGATTCCACACCTTTTATGTCAAAATTATTTTTCTGTATCTCTAAAGCTGTAGGCCTGACAGCTCTTCCCGCGAAACCTTTTTTTGGGTCGAAAATGGCAAAAATGACGTCACTCTTACGTCATTAGCGGCCAACCTATCATAGCCTTTGGAAAAATTTTTGGTCACCATGTGCGCTAGCTGCTCCCGGGAGGGTACTGAAAGTTTGGTGACGATCGGCGCAGCGGTTCTCGAGATATATCGAAAAAAGTAAAGGGGGGGGGGCAAAAAAATGCCCCCCCACCGCCTGGAAGGTTATGATTACGCATTGCCTATACCTACTTAAATGATCGTTAAAGTTTTTAGATAATTATATAATGACATAGTATTGGCTCGTATTATATTCATAAAAATTATAATTAAAACACCAGAAAAACTTGAACCATGACCTATATTTCGTCCATGGGACTTCACCAGGGTATTTGGAAACAAATTTTGTTTTTTATTAGAAAATAAAAGTACAACACGTGACATCCATGAGTTAAGTACCTTAACACATCACAAATAATTCAATGACACCGGAGAAAACAGGATACGTAAAGTATTGATGGTAACTAAAACCAAAATTTTTACTCCTAATTGGATCGTCCCACCAACCTGACCCCAGCCCCCTGCACCCCAAGCAGACCACCCTGACCACCGACCTCCCTCGGCAGGTCGGCAACAAGCGCGAACATCTCTACAAGATTCTCATTATCGGCGAGCTCGGCACGGGAAAGACGTCCATCATCAAGCGCTATGTGCACCAGTTCTTCTCGGACCACTATCGCGCCACCATCGGCGTGGACTTTGCGCTCAAAGTGCTGCACTGGGACCCCAACACCACCGTGCGGTTGCAGCTGTGGGATATCGCAGGTGGGTCCAGCGGCGGTGGCGAGCTGCAAAGTAGTGCGGTCCTGGTAGCACTATTAGAGGCAGACGGAGCGTTCTAATCGTCGGCAATCACGGCCCGTACCCGAGTGAATCTACTTCTACAGTAATGGGACCGTATTAGAGCCGGCGATAATCACGGAACGAGAAAACAACCAAGGTAGGTGGTAGGTAACTACACCTGCGCTATCGACATCAGCTGCTCCGCATGACACTAATTGGATTAGACGGGCGAGCGGCTCTTGCATTCTGCACCACCTTTCAACTCATGGCGACACATAGTACGTGGTGGGCATAGTGATGCTAAGACCCGAACAGCGTTAACCGTATTATTCTTATGTAACTTACTTGTTAAGCTGTCAGAAAGTTTCGTGTTTTGGAGGCATGCATGAAGATTTTTACAGTGTAGGCTGCAATAGGGTCCATAGTTGAGCTCGCTCTTTGGAACATTGAACACGGTCTCGATGGGCCCGGAGTAACTGCTTATTTTAACTCGCACGTTGGTGAGGAAGGTCATTACGCCGCCATGCTAGGGTGTTTTTATTATTTTTATTATTTACATCAGCGCTGTTTTACACGTCGTGCATTTTCCACTCACTTGATAATGTTATTGCAAGAGTTTCCCGCCCTCAGCGAAAATGGTTGGCTGTAATCTAAATAAGAGAGCACCTTTTTTGGACATCTCACAATTCGCAAACGCAATAAATAAGAAGAAAAGGAAAGGAAAGGAAACCATCTCGGTTGAGTTGAAATTAAAGACAGCGATGAAATTTATTCCTTCTCTACGAATGCTGAATTTTCTCAATTTACGCTCCAGAAGCCGTCCTTTTTAATTGGTTAAGACACAGTCGCTTCGGCGAATCACTCCGATTTCGGCGAGTCCGGAGTGGCTCGATCTGTGCTCGCCTCAGATGGGTGGTATGCTGTATTTCCCCGCGATCCATCTCGACCTTTCATTTCACTGCGGCGGGTGGGGTGGCGTCCCGTCGGGTGCATGCCACGGTCGGCCGGCCCGGGCCGTCCGTGGGGCTGCCATCGCTCACCTACCTGTCGGCGCGCCGGCTGACCTCGCCGCGCCGGCTGTCCGCAGGCCAGGAGCGTTTCGGCTCGATGACGCGCGTCTACTACAAGGAGGCGGTGGCGGCGTTCGTCGTGTTCGACGTATCACGCTCCGTCACCTTCGACGCCGTTATGAAGTGGAAAAACGACCTGGACCAGAAGGTGCAGCTGGCTAACGGCGACTGCGTGCCCTGCGTGCTGCTGGCAAACAAGGTGAGATCACCGCCCTGCAAACACACATGGAGCTAGGACAAGCACCTGAGGTATGGCTGATAGTTGGAGCCAGCACGCATTTATAAGCGGGTCATTGGCGTACAGCCCATCGCTTAAGTAATGTACGGTTTACCAATCTCAACGGATGGCTTTGACTGGCGATTTTTTTTTAGTACGGAGTGATCGAAAAGAAGACGTCAATAGACAAAGTTGCAGCGGCAAGGGTGACGATACATGTAAGCTACATTCAAAGTTTCGTAGTCTGGCTAATCGTTGCTAAGCTTCAGAAACAGAACATACCCATGACTGAAACCTCGAACACTTTTCCTTGGAAAGTTCCCCAGTTTTCGGGTTTACTGAGATAGTTACTTTGGTCTTTAGCCCCCGGTTCTTTCCACAGGCGCAGTGGCTAACTCCCGCTCTGGCGCAACTTTAAATGGCTGGGACGAATGTCAGTAACCACCATTATTCCGCCGTCCAGCATTACACATCATGTATGTGTAAAAACACAAATGTCCTCCGTTCTCCTCCACTACCAATGACGTGTTTCACGGACCAGTGATACATCTTTCGGCTTTCACTGTGGTCCTGGTCAGGCTCGTTACCGTATCTCTATCCTCATCTGAACAGAATCTAGACAGCTTTCACGCAGACACAGCCAACTGCCTGCGGCTCTGGTTGAGTATTCACGCCCAGTAAAATGCCCCTGCGGGCTGCGGCTCCGTCTCCGGGCAAAATACACCTTGACCTGGTGGCTTTGGCTCTAGCTCTGCTTCTGCTCATCAAAAATCAATCAATCCATATTTCAGAAGATAAATGACGTGGCCGTGAGCTATCGAATGCGCCTTTCCGCGGCGCTGGAGCTCTATTAGATCCCAAGTTATGCGTCGGGTGTTTCGAAAATTGTAGAAATAGACAAACTATACCTGACTTTTGACCTGATCTAAAGATGACCTAAGTATTTCCATCATTATTTTTGACACTCTTTCGAATACCGCTTACTGCGTGTCACTGCGTCGCCCAGGAGCCGAGGTAGACGGGTGGGCGTCAAAACGCCCCCCTCCCCCAGCACGACACGGAAAACTCAGACCACCAGCACGGCGCAGTTTAAAAGCAACGCAAAACACATCGTCTTCCACATGTTCCGTGAGCTTTTTTGAAGAGTAATGCTACTCACTGAATTGATTATTTATGAAAAGGAAAGAACAACAAACAAAAGGAACGAATGCAACCAATCAAAACGTCATTTTACCGCTCTTATATCGCCTGGGTCCGAACATACTGCTTCATTGAATTTTTAACATTGCTCGGTGAAGATCGTTCACATTTCGCCCCACATCGCCGCCCACAGAATTCTAACTAATTTGATCGGTATTTGACATTTTCGGTGCATCAGCAGGAGTTTCCCTGCTATGAAGGCAATCAATTACTTCTAGTAGAAATGAACATCGATCACATTTTGCTTCGATCTCGAAATTGTATTTGTTTCAATAAGCGCTATCGTTACGGAGCTAATGAATAAATCAACGAATGAATTGGCTGCTACCGTGCGTTGTTTTGTCTGCGACTCAATATACCGTCACCGACAGGAGCCGGAATTTCGACCCTATAGTCTGGTCGGCGGGGCAATAAAAAGCGCCGGCCGGAGGGCTACAGTAAAGCCGCAGCCGGGGCAATCTGCCGCGGCTGAGCGTCGTCCGGTCCCGACGACCGGCGGCCATCCTCACTGCTCGAGGGCACGGCAGAGGTGCCAACTGCCACCAGCGGCGAGCAGTGGCTGATGGCACGAGCCGGCCGGCCGGCCACCGGTCCCACCAAACCCTCTACGCTGGCGCCGGGGAGCCCCGTGGACCGGCACGGCACGGCACGGCTGCCGAGCAAGCCCTGCGGCTGAGAGGGTGGCTACTGGCTACCGGTCGTCGGCACCGGACGACGCTGCTGGAGGTCACACTGCCGCACACACTGCTGGGTTACACATACACTCAGATATGTCGAATCACTGTAACTCGTGAGATCACCGGGTTATTGCATGATGCCCTATAACCCGCGCCGGGCCGGGGGGGGGTGTTTGAACACCCCCCTTTGCGTTTTTTCGCAGATATCTCAAAAACGGCGGCGCTCCCGCCGCCGTTTTTGGCACACCTGTTCGTGCATCTTTTCCGCACATGTTGTGAAAATTTCAGACCCAGGTCACCTTAGGTCAGGTCACCAGGTCACGCCAAGTGACCTCACCTCAGAAAAAATAAGAATGCTCGTCATAGCTACACCGACTGAACGATTGCCTGGAAACTTTCAGCGATTGATTAGAGCAACACTATCTATAAAATGTATATCTCGGAATTTTGATATCGGTGACCTAAGGTCAGGTCAATTTTGCGGCCTCTCCATTATAAGTCAATGGGAGAAAATTGAAAAGCGTCTGTTTTGCACGAACGCTATTCTAGACACTCTCAAACATCGAGATGTAGGTAAAATAGACACACTGAACCAGAAAATGGCAACTGTGGCCCCTCGTTATGTCCCCGAGGTCATCTCAGGTCACGAACAGAATCTAACAGTTTTTCGATGATAACTTCTGAAAGAGAAGTGCTAGAGCGCTGGAAACGCCTTAGATGTGTTCGGCTCGACGTTGCGGATCGACTGATATGCAACATGACCTTTTCCGGTCAGGTCATGACCTTGACCTGAGGTCAAATTTTCAAGTTGACCTTTCAAGGTCAAATTATAGTTCATTCGACGCGTCTCGACGAGAGGAACACGATGCTGGCAAAAGTAATGTCATAGCTCCTTTGAGTCAAAAGTTATTGCCGAAAAACGTTTTTTCGTAAAAACGCCTATTTTTGGAGTTTTTGCCCTCTGGAGGCTAAACTGTTGACCTGAGGTCAAATCTCAGAACATTACTCAGAAAGGTCTGTAAAAGGGCTATCGAATGCGCTTTTCCGCGGCGCTGTAGCTCTATTGGTTCCCGAGATAGCCATTGGCAGTTTCCAAAATGTTGAAATAGTCAACATTTTACCTTTGGTGACCTCTGGTGACCTGACCTTTGACCTGACCCAAAAAATGACTGAAGTGTTTTCGTCCTTATTTTTGACGTTCTTTCGATTGCCGCTTACCGCGTGTCGCTACGTGGCCCAGGAGCCGAGTTAGAAGGGGGGGTGTTCAAACACCCCCCGCGGCCCGGCGCGGAATCTCAGAGCACCGGCCCGGCGCGGGATAAGGAAGCGCTGTTACAACTCTACATACACGTGGCTCCAAAATCCATCACGTCAAGTATTTCTGCGTCTTGTAACAACGAAAACCCTCCCACCGACATGGCATTGTTTTATGATCAACCCAGCCTTCTATATAGGGTACTTTCGATTATTTAGAATGTGTTTGAAAACGATGGCAGAGCTTTTGTCATTCCACCAAGTCCGGCGTCATCAGATGAGTTCTTTTGACCTCGCTTCTGAATTGTCAGTGATGTTTTAAGGTTGTGAATTTGACGCCTATTGTCACCAGCGTAATCGAGCACCTATCAGGACCTAGGTCGCAGAGGTCATCAGTACTTCATCCAAGCCTGTGGGTGATGTAACTACTCTCCCATCACCAATCACCACACATTGGAAGTCCGCTAATCCCTGTCTTTTTAACCCTCGCCGGCACAGGGGGGGGGGGGGGGGGTTGATGCACCCCCCCAAGGTTATTCGCGAATAACTCGCGTAAAAAGCGGCCGGTCGCGACGAAACTTTCAGTACCCTCGCATTGATCAATTTTACACCTACCCTGAAAATTTCATGACCCTGACCCCAATGACCTTTGACCTGTGACCTCTTTTCCGTGACCATGTTTGGCCGAAATCGCGATTCGGCGTATGTCGGCTCGCATTAGCCGCGCGTTTGCAAGCTTTTCGTGGTTTCAAACGTTCAAACATGTGATTTGATGTTGCTCCCATACATTAGGGTGGGTGTGAAGGTCACCTGAAGGTCAGGTCAGGTCATTGACCTTTGGTGACCTCGGGTGATCTCGGTTCACTTTTTCGAGTTTTACATGTTTGTAGGCTAGTTTTTGGAGCTGAATTCGAATTTAGCAACCATTTGAACATTTACGAGGTAGTTTTGGTGCCTTCGTAACATGTTACGAAGCTGTCAGAGGCGGTTGACACGTAATACGAATACCCGTCACAACCCCTACCGGTTGACCTGACCTGACCTAACCCAACCTGGTCTAAATGCTTAAAGACATCATCTCTGATCAAAACTAACACGATATTCGTGATCAGCACCCCGGACAACCACATAGCAGCCACACTTTACGACTTTCTAACAGGTCCCGATTTTCCCGGTTTTCGGGTCATTGACCTGACCTGGAAGGTCACTCGATGACCTAGGACCTTAAAATTGGGTATCATCGGCTTCCTCTCGTGACGGGCAACACGCTCGTTTTTTCCGCGAAGCTCTAGCTTGATCAGGGGCCAAACGCGAGGTGGGGTCGTACCACCCCCCCCCCCCCCCCCTTGTGCCGTCGAAGGACGTAAAATGGCCTGTGCAGGCGAGGGTTAATATACGATGACGCTATGCACTTGCATGCTTAACCCAAAAGCAAACTGTCCAAAAAGCAACCCAAAAGCAGTCTCCATTTTATTAACGATCGCTGCTGACAATTCCTCTCATTTTCACAGAGCGATCTTCCGAAGGAGGGTATAGTGACCACGCCCGACAAACTGACTGAATGGGCGAAACAGCACGGCTTCATGGGATGGTTCGAGACGTCGGCTAAAGAATACACCGGCATCGAAGAGGCAGCCAACTTCCTTGTCGCCAAGGCAAGTAAATGGGATGTAGTTAGGGGAATGTCAAAGCCGCGGCTTGGCCCAGTGACTTGCCGACATCGATTTTTCATTAGCTGGTGTCACGATGGAAGTCTGCTCACTGTTCACACGTCTGTAATGCCAATCAATAGGGTTGAGTAAATTGAACCCACTTGTACAATTTTGACATCGTTCGGCAAAAATGCCAGTAAAGGTCAGAAAAACAATATAAGTCAACTACGCAGCGTCACTTTTGACCGGTATATGTCGTTAAACTATATCAAAATGTAAAAATATCCAATAAAATCTTTCGTTAACTTGTGCACACAGCGTTCCGCAATGTACCAAGTTGTCATCAGTATCATTAGATCACTGACCAGTGACCAGTGACCAGTTTGCCGTACTCCGTGACGGCCGAACATACGCTACGATGGAAATACTGGTCCTTAACGCACGTTAAGACTAGACGAAATAACATTCACCCAATTGGTACAATGCTATCTGGATCGAAACCCGTGACCCAGCTTTGTACGGCTTCATTATACCATGGATGAGATAATAATGGATTGGTGTCTTCGCAGTTTTTGGCGACATTGAGCTCAGGCCTGCCATCTAGCGGGAGAATTGTCGTAAGTTAGGAGCAAGCCGAGTGAACGCCGCTGATTAGCATTGTGACACACGGGAGTGTGGTGTAGTAGCAGGCTTGTTGTGCAATTTTTCAAAAGATTATGTCTTTATATGTCAGTAAAAGCGAAGAAATTAATATATTTATGTGCAGGGTCAGTAATAAGATAAGCAGTTCCATGTTATTTCCTCATTAAATCGTGAAACAGGGAGTTATTGGAGACTTCGCCAGCACGTGTCGTTTTCGCTATTTTTCCCATGAGTCTTTACTTGGCCTAAATCAAACAAATTGTCCGATCAAAGAACAAAACGAACGTAAGTAGGTACTATCTATAAGTCTAATGAAAAGCTTAAACGGAATTGCTAACGTCATTGCCGCTCAATATGTCATTCAAGACGCTCTATGAAAAGGACCCAATCGGTGGTGCGTAATCGATGAAATTTCAGTAACTTTGGCTCCAACTCCGATTCCGGTATCCAAATATCGACTCCGACTCCTCCGGGCAGAACTGTCAATTCGCACAGACTCCGACTCTGACTCCGCCTGCAGCCCTGGTAAGTCTGTGGAGTGATGACTTTTCGGTGACGTTCGACTCATACTCGGGCTACAGCTTTTAAAAATCAACCGACTCCGAGTCGGAACAGAACCGCTGGCTCTGACTACAACTTCGCAGCCCTGGCCCAAGATAGCCGCCTAAAACAACTTTTATGTGTAATCTTCTTCGTACATTGTTAATGTTATTTTAAACAAGGGGTGGGAAAGGGAGACGAAGCCTTCGCAAACAAGGATCTCCTGTTGCGAATCAATCAGCTGCTGGAAAAGAAAGGCATAAACACCACGCATCTCATTTCATCGTTTTCCTAACAGCTCTGCACCAATGTAAAGCACTGATCAATGCAGTGCGAGCATCGATGTGACATTTGTGTACCAAGTTTGAGTGTTATCCGCCCAGCCGTTCTTGAGATATGGAAGCGGCACCCCGCACGTGCGCACGTGCAGTAGCACCCCCATAGTGACACATGGAAATGCATTGGCCACTGGGTGCCTAACTATTGACGAAGTTTTACTGTAATTGGCCCAGCCATTGCGGAGTCAGGGTACCTATATTGAATTAGGGGGTAGGACCAAGTTTAGTAGGCATGATCTCAGCAATTATCTTGTTTTATATGGCGGTTTTCAATATCACAATATTATTTTTGATATCATTAAGTTTGTATATCTCGGTTTTACGAAAAATAGTAGGGCAACAAAGATAAATTTCGCGAAAAAATAATTTTAGTTGGAAACATCCATTCTGGTATGCAAAATTCAGTATGAAGCCCAGTATGGTGACCGTCTACTGTGCTTCCAAGGCTGAGTACCTGATATCAACAGGAGTTGTTTACTATTTTGCCTTACGTTGCTAGGTGGTTGCTAGGGAGCCAAGGATACTCTCTTGCGCGATCATTTGCACTTATTTTTCCTCATTATATCGACATGTTGTTGTTTCTGAGACCTAACTCATGCTAAGAAAAAAGCAGTTTTCTTAAAATGTGTATTTAAGTGCCGTAGTATTAACACAGCTCTGCAATTCTGCTTAAATATCTCTAAAATCCTGACTTCCCGGAAAATTGTTGGTGGTGATGGGGATCGAGCCCGTCGATGAAAAGTAAGTCAATATTCAAAGGCTTCAAAACGTTATTTTTTGTTGTTCTGTGAAATAACAATGCAAAGACCGATGACAGTGCCAGTGTTGAGCTTTCCAATGAAGCATTGCAATTAGTAGTAAGGTTATTATTCCGTAAGATATCTTCCATCAAATATTAGAATTCCGCCATTGTCTTGCTGTAGAACAGGGTTACTTTCAGTCTCTTGGGAACACGATTTGCCGGTCTCAGATCGAAAAACACTTCAAAAAGCGGTAATAGACAATGAAATTTCCCACCTGATAGCATCTCGGGTTTTTATATATCCTGTCTAGAATTTTCGTAAATCAGACGTAAAAATGGCCAATTTCGTCATATTCCGAATTTTTGCCATTGGGTCTAATGTAAAGCATGGCTACTTTCAGTCTCTTGGGAACACGATTTCCGTACCTCAGATTGAAAAACACTTCAAAAGTCGCAGATAGTAGACGATTTAATCTACAAGATAGCATCTCGCTTTTTTCTGTATCTGGTCATGTATCTTTACGAAACCCTCTCAAATATAGTCAATTTAGCATTAAAGTCTATGGATTTAGAAGAATTTTCATATCCGACTAGATTTGGGCTACCATGTCTGTCGACCGGGGGCCATACACACCGTCTTACGCATTTTATTTTCGTTATTACCTAAAGGCTGCTTGACGTTTTTGGCTTTCAAGCATTTAAGACGTATTTTGTCGTCTCAGGTCCAGCAAGATTATCTCCAACTCGTGGGAATATGCACTTCAAGCCAACTAACACACCACACCCACGTGTGTCATAATGCTGAGAGATGGCGTTCACTCGGCTTGCTCCTAACTTACGATAATTCTCTCGCTAGATGGCAGGCCTGATCCCAATGTCGCGGATCCCAATGTTAATTTCCACGAGACACCAATCCAGTGTTATATCATCCATGATTATACCTACTGTAAATTGTGCTAATGACTTTCGACATAGGGCAAGCATCGTATAGGCCAGTGTGTTCAGTAAAACACGCGTCTTACATCGTCGTTTCGATATGTATATCGAGAGGAAAAATTATATCTTATTCAACGACAAATTAGATGTAACTTGTCATTTTCTTTGCCGATATCAAAATGACATTGAAAGATAAACATAGTTTTTGGAAGTTTTACTGTAATGACTTATCCAAAGCATAAACAAAACTGCTATTTGTCGGTTGGTTGATAAGACAATGCCAGGACATGGCTTATTATAGTAGCAACTGTCCGTTTTGCCAGACCTTTCTTTGTGTGTATATTTATACAGTCATTGAGAGTTCTTTTATAGCGTTCCTGCGCGTCTGGTCGCCGTCCCGTTCTGTACACGGAAGGGACCCGTGATCACGTCTCGCTGCCGTTCCAGATCCTTACCAACGAGAAGAGCGGCATCATGACGTCTGAGGATGAGGACCTGGACACGCTGGTGGTCGGTGACGGCCAGCCGGACCGGAACTGGTGCAGCTGCTAACCGGGCTCCTTCCCCTCGGCGGAGCGCCGCCTGTCGCTGCCTCGGACCGCGCCGCCCGCGCCCGCAGCCAGGACCCGCACCGGCGGCGGCACAACATGTGCCGCACGAACGCCTCGTGCGCCACGTTTGCCACGTGTTTCCAGTGTGCTCGTGCCCGACGCTAGGCCGGCTGTACTCGAGGGTCCGGCGCCGCCATGTCGTCGGACGATATTGCCTCTCGTGTCGCCGCGGGTAAAATCGGCGTGAGCAGGGTGGTGTTTTTTTGTGCTTGAATGAGGCTGGCCTGTGAAAGATGCAGCGTCGGCTCGATGTTCAATCTGCGCTGTTTTGGTACCATTTTATGCCGAATTTATCTTTTTCATGCAACTGCTTCATAACAGCTAGGTTATTCTCATTCTACATAGTTAGCATGATAGGAGTTCGGGTTAGTTCAATGCCGTATTTTTCGTGGTCCCAATTTCATCGTTAGCTCTACTCCGGTTTGGTGCCGGTGCGAGTCAAGTTGATTCGAAGCGAGTCAAGTCGAGTCAGTTCGATTCGATTTCATCGAATCCGACCAATTTGCTGCCGGCGTGACACCAGCTTGATTCTCTATAGATTCGCTTCGTTGCGGGCAACGACCGATTATTGAATTCGAGTAAGAGAGGCCATCTACATATAGGCAAGTGCTGGTTATTGCAGCTGGTAGCCATAATTGGCTCAGAACGGATATCGACATGGGAGCCATATGCTTTTTATGGTGTTTTATTTGTGTGCGCATGCACGAGTTTGTAACCGAGTATGTTCTTTATATGGGCAGCCGTGTGTTGCGCTCATGAGCTCGCTCGGGGTGGCTGAACACTAGGCACGTGCCTACTCGTGCGGGGCTGTTTTATTCTCGCTCGCCCAAAAGTTGCCGGACGGTACATCGCAATGTTGTCGGCCATATTTAGCAGTTCGCGTGCCATATATCTTACCGCTTCGATTTCGATTTTCATGGATTTTAGGTACCGGTATTGGGAATGTGTCGGACTCAGTCGTGGTGTTCATATATGATTGAGGTGGGTGGCGTGATGAATGATGCCTTGTGGAGCGAAAGAAGTTATTCTAATACATTTCAGACATGATAATCTTTTTTCTTGTGCATCGTATTTTGGCCGTGCTGCACCACCGTCTATGCTTTAACCCGCGCACCGACGGGGGTCTGCACCAACTTCGCACCGACGGGGGGGGCGGATGACCGCCCCCCCCCCCCTGAGATCTCGAAAACGAAGCAAGATAGCGACAAGCGGTAAACGGCATCGGATACGCACGGCCAAGATCTACAATTTTTACACAGGTCATTTTCAGGTCAGGTCAAAGATGACGTCACAGGGGTCGAAAAAGTCAAAATGGCGGCGCTAGATATGGAGAGAGTTTTTCTCGAATAACTTTCGAATTAGTCAAGATAGGAACAAACTAAAGGCATCATCGTGATCCTCTCGTCAATCCGCATCGAATGATATATATGTTGACCTCGAAAGGTCAAGGTCAAAGGTTGACCTCAGGTCACGTGACCTCGAGGTCATCATGTATATCATTCGATGCGTCTTGACGAGCTGAACACAATGAGACCATCCACGCGTCTGTATCTTGTTCCTGTACGGAGTTATTGGCCAAAAACCTTTGGTGACCTTTGATGACGTCACATGACCTCACAGCTGCCCAACAGCAAAACAGACCTCAAGGTAGTGCAGGTTGATCGTATATGAAGTCATGTATGGTATATGGGGCCATTCCGACCCGTTTTAGTGGTAAAAACAGGGAGTTGATTTTTCCCCCATTGACTTATAATGGGGAGGTCGCGAAATTGACCTGACCTTAGGTCACCGATATCAAAATTCCGAGATATACAAATTGTAGCTACTAATGACCTAATAATATCCTGCGACTTTCAAAGGCCTCCGACATCTACTGTAGCTCTGGCACGGTGACAAAGTTGCAAAAAAGTGACTTGAGGTTGGGTCATTCAAAGTGACCTGGTGACCTGACCTTAAAAGGTAGGAGGTTCAAACTTGCACACCATGTGTAAAATTGATGAGGTTATAGTCATACCAAATTTCGCGGCGCTACGCGCCGCGGTTTTCCCGCTATTCGCGAAAAACCTCAGGGGGGGGCGGATATCCGCCCCCCCCGTCGGTGCGCGGGTTAACTATGTCTATAATCAACACCACTTCAGCTTGCTATGAGATCTTCCAGGATTATAATGTCGCCTTTATCACGTTATCGCCGAGGTCGCTGGGTGTAACAAAAAGGAAAATTATCACGAAAATGTTCCAGATTATGACAATTTCGCACAAATCTGAAATCTGTGCATAACTCGGGAACCAAAAGAGCATAGCGCCGGGGAAAAAGGCATTCGATACCTCTCCCAAGGCTCTTTGAATGAAGTTCTCAGATTTGAGAAAGGGTCAGCGGCCTAGCCCGCGCCCTGGTGGGGTCTGTTTATAACGCGACCTGGTGGGGGGGGGGGCTATTTTTTGCCGCCCCCCCCCCTCGTATCTCCGAAACTACTGGACGGATCCGCAAAATGCAAACGGCGTTCGAAGGGCCTGTCAAATTTGTTGAGGGAAACCAAATTTCATTGACCTCGGGGTCACCGATGACGTCACAGGTCAGGTCAAAGATGAAATGTTTCACCGTTCACGGCTCTTCTAGGGAATGCGCTATAACACCGAGGAAAACGCATTTTGTCGAGAATCAGCGATAGGGCGTCAGTTGCCTAGTAGATATGTTGCTATTAGAGGTCACTGACAATACCAGGTCACATCACAGGTCAGGTCACCAAGGGTCACAGGTCAGGTCACATGAGCCCAACTTTACTAAGGTTGTGTAATGCATGTTTTATGGCCAATTTTTCATTTCCAACTCAATGGTGTTGGTTATAAGACTATCAGGTACGGCTTAGGTCACTTTCTGGTGAAGTTCAGGTCAAGGTCAGGTCAAGGTCAGGCCAAAAAAGGTCAAATTTTGAAGTTGATAGTTTTGCATAAAATGGGTATTGATTCGATGCAGCTCGTCACGGGGAGTCTAATGGTGGTCTTTGTTTTGCGCTACGGGGTCTAGAATTGCTAAAAATTGAGTTTGAAAATTTGACGTCATCAATTTTAAACAGTTTTTTCGCTATAACTTCGCCAAAAAAAGAGGTATCAATCTCAAATTTGGTATGTGGGTGGAAGGCGGTAAGGACTATCACATATATTCCGGTTTTTGCGAAATTCAAAAAACTTTTTGGATTTTTTGATCATTTTATCCAAAAAAAATTATATTTTGATTTTTGGGGGGTCAAAATCCAAAAATTTCAAAAATCCGAGATAGCAGTTTTGTAGCCCTGTCAATTCTACAGCTTCCCAGTAAACATGCCGACGTCGGCCCGACGTCGGCCGACGTCGGGGTGACGTCGGCAACTCGGCATCGGCATGCCGACGTCGGCCCGACGTCGGTCCAACCTCGGCACGACGTCGGCTGGATGTCGGATATGCCCGCATGTACCGACGTCCAGCCGAGGTCCAGCCGACGTCGGGCCGACGTAGGACCGAGATCAACTGCTGAGGTCCAGCCGACGTCGGGCCGACGTCGGGGCGACGTCGGACCGACATCGGCCGCTGTTTTGACCGTTAAAATAATATAAAATACATGTTTCATGTTTCATAAAGAGCTTCTGTATTCAAAATATCCTCAGGAAACTCAAATCTTCCTCCACGCCGCAACCCCCTGACCCGGACTGGACGGGAAACTTTATCCCATTTGGGATTGCCCGTAAGCCGAGCTCGCCCGTAGCCGGGTGCGGTGAGTGCTTGGGGGCTGCTCGGCCTATCCTTTGGTCAGGCTCAGCCCCGGCAACTCACCAGGGCCGGGCCCAGTTCATATAGAAAGGCCAGTCGGCAAGTGTCACTTTGCCAAAGAGCCACTTATCAAAGGGACACTTTAGGAAACGTTGGTGCAGGTGTGTAAGAGTGGCTATATGAATCCATTGTGGGGTCGCCCTTTCCAATAAGTGTCACGTAGGTAACAGCAATGGGACCAGGGACTGTATATAAACTGGACCCAGGGTGCTCGCCAAGAAGACAAATGTCTCCATCCTATCATCCTTCCGGCTCTGAAATGGTCTTGTCAGACCGAAAGGGCATAACCCAACAAAACAAACTAAATTCGCTATTTGGCTGCGTGGTGTAGTGGTTAGCGCACTAATCTCGCGTTCAAATGACATGGGGTTCGAATCCCGTCGCCGGATGATGCTTTTGGCGTGTTGTCCCAGTAAACATGCCGACGTCGGCGACTGGGGGCTCGAATCCCGCCGCCGGTTGATATTTTTGGCGCGTTGTCCCAATAAACATGCCGACGTCGGCCCCGTCGGTCCAACGACAAACGATCTCGCCAACCTCGGCAAACGACCTCGGCCCGACGTCGGCTCGACGTCGGCTGGACTTCGGCTGGACGTCGGAACATGCGGGCATATCCGACGTCCAGCCGATGTCGGGCCGAGGTTGAACCGACGTTGGGCCGACGTCGGGCCGAGCCTCGGCCCGACGTCGGGCCGACGTCGGCATGTTTACTGGGTTTTATGTCCTTATCATTTTTCTGTATTTGCAAAGCTATAGGCCTGACAGCTCTTCCCGCGAAACCCTTTTTTGGGTCGAAAACGGCAGAACATGACGTCACTCTGACGTCATTTCCGGCCAACCTATCATAGCCTTTGGAAAAATTTTCGGTCACCATGTGTTAAATTGATGTCCGGGAGGGTACTGAAAGTTTGGTGACGATCGGCGTAGCGGTTCTGGAGATATATCGAAAAGTCTGGAGGGGGGGGGGGCAAAAAATAGCCCCCCCCCACCAGGTCGCGGGCTAGCACCAGTGAAGAACAACTGTAAAAATTCAACGTTTCTACAGAAGTTTTTTTTTTTTTGCTGCAATATGTTTTGACAAGTTTGTACATACTATGTGATTTTACCGTCTACCGGTATCGTGTTTCTCCCGCTGAGACACCTCGAATGTCCTATGAGTTGACCCAAACAGGTCACTTTAACCCTCGCCCGCACTTGGAGGGGGGGGGGGTGGTTGCCACCCACCCATGTAGTTTTTCTTCTCTGCACTCAACATTTTTAAAGCTAGAAACCTGATTTTTCGTACAGCTGCTTCTCTATCCTTTCTCAGCGTCCACCGAAAAGTTCAAGTTTCTGTAATTTCTGGTTTTGGAGATATGACCTTGTTTTCAAGTCATGTCAGGACCCAAATGACCAATACTCAACATCTTGCGTTGGCTATGGGTCTTGTGAGCTTTGGACACCTTGATTTCAGTATGTTTTTGCTAGTCTCACCTCCCACCTATCATGGAACATGCTATTCTACGATGTGCAGATGCCAGGGTCACGGTCAAGGCCAAGCTAAGTCATCGCCAAGCTAAATCATCTAAAAACATTGCATTTTAGGCTTGCTGAATTTACTTTTCGTGAAGTTTTTTTACTGCATTTTTGATAAAAACTTCTCAGATCATGATCTCATCTAATCGGGAGTCGGGACACACAAACCAATCGGTGCACACATCAGTATACACACAGACACACACAGACATACAAACACATATCATTGACCTTGACCTAGCTTCACCTTAAATGACCACAGCCAGTAAAAACCTAGTGGGATAGTGTGACAAAGAGCTCTTCTAACTTCTAGCTGGCTTGTCACCACAAACGGCAGCGCCATCGGTATATGATGGGCACCGCACGTGATATCACGGCACCGCCTGTGCTATTTCCGTACCCACGACAGCGGGGGTGGGGTCAGATCCGCCCCCCCCCCCCTGTTATCTCGAGAACCATTGGTCGTAGTATCGAGCCCCGCGAGGCGGTGTTCGAAAGGTTCGATAGCTGCTGCTCGAAACTCACCAAAAATGATCTCAAAGACCTAGTGAAGGTACCATGTACGTATAAGGGTCATACTTAGTACGGGTCAAGGTCAGGTCAGGTCACGAAAGGTCACGGCTTTTGTAACACGGCGGTTTCTCGTGCCCAGGGCGGGGGCGCGCCGGTGTTGTTGTCAGCCCTTGCCAGAAGAGATGCTCTGCCGGTCCAGGTGTATTGTTCACGAG